TATAAGAATTCAAAGTTCATTCTTGCCAGAGATAATTTATTTCGTCTTAACTAAGATAAATATCTGATATATTCTCCAATTTGTAGTACATTTGAATGTGTAGGATTTAATGAATGACAATAGATGATAGCAGCTTTTTGGTCATGCTTGAGTGCTGCTTGGTATTTCCTTTTGTCTTTATGAATATTATCAATTTTTTCAATGGTTACAGCAATGTCACGATGCTCTGAAGGTAGAGACTTTATTTTAATTCTAAGTAATTCATCATAATGTTTCAAAGCAAGGTCATAATTGACCTTGATAACGATATATTGTACCAATATTATGATGTGACTGATCAACATCAGAATGATCTTCAGGTAAATAATCCAAGCGAATATTCAATGCTTGATGATGGGATTTAAGTGCTTTGAAATACTTTTTCTATCGTTCATATACGCAACCAATATTATTTAAGCACATAGCAATATCAGGATGACTTTCACCAAATGCTTTTTTAAGAATATCAAATGGTATATTATATGATTCAAGTGCTTGTTGATAATCATCTTTGTTGAAATAATCACATCCAATGCTAAAATAACTGGGTGTAAGCTGAGGATGATCTGGTTTTAATGTTTTCATTTTCATATCGAGCGATTCTTTATGCCATTCAAGACTTTCATCATAATCACCTTTCTCATCTATAACATTACCAAGACCGTGATAACAACGAGCAATATCTGGATCATCAGAGCGTCAAAGTATTCACTTTTGTAACGGAAGATAATGACAACATTTGGACTATCAATGCCTATTAGATATCGAATAAGACGTTGATAAAGCCGCAAAAGTCATCTGCTTTTTGGAAGCACTTTTATTCTTCATTTTCACACTCGTAGCAGCATAGATTGCAAAGACATATTAGAAAATACTTCGATGATTATAGTTACTGCTCATTGATGCGGATTATTTGGACACAGACGAATTGACAAGTCAGTCAGCAAATCGAGCAGTAGTGGTGGAGGGAGGGAGTGTTCAGTGTAATTCCTCTAGTCTCCGAAAATTTTCGTTTTCAATCGATAAAGGTGAACTTCCTCCTTCTTGCGCTTTTTTCGATGTCATGGAAATAATCCTTGAGTAGCCTCCCCCACTCGTCACAACTCAACGGATTTCTCTTCAGTCACGGTCGTGGTAATGTTATAGATGAGAAAGGTGATTATGATGAAAGTCTTGAATGGCATAAAGAATCGGTCGATATGAAAATGAA